GTTGTTTTGGCTTGCGAAGTGGTGGCTATGTTCTCAATAGGGAACTTGACTTGATACTGCCCGACCAGCGCTGCTGAACCCTAAACCCTAAACCCTAAACCCTAACTTTAAATTTTCAACGGATGCCCTGAAACTCTTGCGTCCTTCTGACCTATTTCCTTGGAGATGCAGGAGCCTCCGGAGTGTTTGATTGCGTGGCCTCGACGGAAGACAGCAGGCATCATGCCGATGCAGGATGCGGATGATGAAAAGGCGAATCGGCAAGAGAACCGTCTTGACCGTGCGAGCATCCTCAAGCACTTTCGCGAACATGGGCCTCGGGCTACATTCTTGGCTTCTTCCTGTGACGTCACACTGTCTACCGGGCAACGGGCGCGGTTGGTCTATGTTCTCCCCAAGTACAAGCTACACCTGGCTTCGACGCGGCCGGGGGACATGACAGCCGCTTTGCACTTGGCTCTAGCATGTTCAGAACATGAGGCTGGGGCCTCTTAGGAAAGCAACGTCCTGCATACTTTGCAGACACCGGGGTTCAGCACGTTCGTTGCATTGTCATGCAAACCATCACTTCAGTCTGGAGCACGATTCTGAGCATTTGGAAGACTTCCCTGCAGGTGCGACAGGCCTGCAGCAATGTCAGGACCAAGAGCTATGATTTGTTCAGGCACATCTACCTTGTTCAAACCTTTTCTGTAGTCTACATCACAGCCGATGGAGACGCGGTGGATGCTCACGTGGACTTCGTCAAGTGCGGTGGATACTCGGAGCATGCCCTCTTCATCGCTGGCCTGGTGAGTAAGGAAGGTTTCCAAAAGCTTCCGAAGGGGCCTTTGCACTCGCAGCCAGTGAAACGAGTCATGGGCAAGGCCGGGTGGCTGCCAAATCCAGCACAAGGCATTCCTAATGGTTCCCTAATCCCAAACACTTAACCCTTCACGCTAAACATCCCTGAAAGGCGAAAAGGTCCGAGGCCACCAAGCGCATGCTGGCTGCACCCGAGGACTGTCTCCGCGTTCACACATACATGGAACACTTAACACATAGGCAGCAACCTGCAACATTGAAGCTTACCTGGATGTCTTGTGTCCAATGGTAGCTGCCAGGAGGCCAAGACGCAGCAAGACGAGCCCGACCTGCCTGTCAGCTCTGTTGCAGCCGAGCGCTTCTTGCCTGGCTCTGCAGCAAAGAACGCCAAGTCTGCCTTCCTGCACTGCGTGGCTGCTGGGGACGAGGCTGATGGGCTTTGTTTGGCCGCCGTCCTGAAGGGTGGTCGTTGCAAGCGCCGCCGTGTCAATGGCAACTACTGTCGGCAGCACGCGGCTGATGCTTCAAGCCCGGATAAATTGAAGACTTTCTTTGGCTCGCTCCAAGACAGCTTCGAAAGCGCTGCTGACAGGTTCGAGCGGCAAGAGGCTCCCGTCTTTCTAAACTTGCCTTTCGTCCTTGCTTCCCTTGCTGTTCTGAGTGCAAACTATGTCGATCAAGTACCAACCACGTGAAGCCCCTAGGTGGCGCTGGCAGTGCAGCTGTCGCTGCAGGACAACAAGGACTTGGAAGCGCGACTGGACAGGATTGGGGCCAACACGTGAAAACCTTGTAAAGCCGGGTCAAGCATGTGCACTTGGGGTTAACCGTAAACCCCTCCTGCAGCCCCGACCATAACTGTTCAGGGGTCCAGGGCACCTTGTGCCCCTGCAATGTCCCGACCAGGAGCCGCCGTGTTCTCAAGCTCCGTCTGGACCCTTTGGGCTTGGACCGTGTGAGCACGGAGCCAGATGGCTCGTGCCAATTCCAAGCTGTCCTGCTGTCGGCTGGAATACCGATGAATGCGTATTCCTTCCGCACACAAGTGGTGGGCTACCTTCGGGCCTTTCCTGACTTGTTCCAAAAGGACATCGAAGCGAAGTTTGCTTCTTACAGTGCTTATCTGGACTATATGTCAAGGCCTGATGCTTGGGGGGATGACCTCACATTGGTTGCAGCTGCCCATCTCTTGCTTTGCCGAATCAGGGTGATTTCAGATTGTGACTTGGAGGGCGAACGCATCTTCACGCCGCCTCCCATGATATCGAGTGATGTTTGGCGTGATGATGTGTATATATGCCACATGTTGCAGAACCACTTCGAGGCCACGTGCCCAAAACTGCCTCAAGCTCCAAGAGCCAAGGCAGAAGTCTAGCTGCAGATTCCGTTGCTTTCCGCACAAACCCTACACCAGAAACTTCCGTACGTGGCCTCTCCTCGCCCCTTGCACAGGGTCTGCCAGCAGTCTTTGCTTGCTTTTTCCTAGACGCCGCAGCGCTTTCCACACGCACCTGCGGCTGTGTTGTACAGTGTGGCAAGTCCGACGCGAGTGGCCATGCCATCTTTTGCAGTAACTTTCTCAGACGAGGCTGCGGGAATCCATAGCCCGCCCAAACCCTAAACCCTAGACCCCAGGCCTGAGACCCTAGACCCTAGACCCAAAACTTAAACCCTGATTCCAAACCACTTACAAGCAGAAGTCTTGAACCCTGGACCTGTTTGACCTCTACTAAGACTGCTTTCCATTTCTTTGTAATGTGTAAGTGCTCTCAGCTTTGCTGATTTAAGATATCTATGATGTTATCTGTGTTTTGTATTTGATACTTATGGTATATGATATATTCTAGAGGCTGTGCCAGCAGTCTTTGCTTGCTTTTGCCTAGACGCCGCAGCGCTCTCCACACGCGCCTGTGGCGGTGTTGTACAGTGTGGCAAGTTCGACGCAGATCTTGCTGGCCCGCGCGCATTTTGGCCGTGGCATCTTTTCCAGTCATATTGTGCTTAACTTTCTCAGACGCGGATCCGGGAACCGATGGCAGCCCTAAACCCTGAACCCATGAGGCCCTAAACCCTGAACAGAGTCTTAAACTTTGGTGCTTCTGGTTTCGCAAATTTTGCTTTTAGGCCTAAAACCCTAAACTCTGACTCAAGCCTGAACACTAAACCCTGAACCCTAGACTTGCGACCCTAAAAACCCGGACCCTAAACCCTCAACCCTGAACCCTAAACCTTGAGGCATCGGGCTCGGAGTTTTGCAGGTTGTTGCTTTAGGACTGAAATTGGGGGCTTACGGCCTCGGAGTTTTGCAGGCTTGGGGGGTACAAGGGAAAGTTTTCGGGTTCAGAGCTTTGCCTTCTGGGTGTAGGGTTGAAGGACGCAAGAATTAAGCAAACCCAGTCGGCTTAAAATTGGTTTCAAGCTCACCGGGCCCAGGCGGAGCTTAAAACCGGTTTTGAGCCGCGCAAGCCCCAAGATCTTGGCCTCGCAGTCGCTTAAAAACGGTTTCGAGCCCTTACACAGAGTCCGTCCCCACCAACCGCGCCATCGGCTTAAAACCAATTTTAAGCCGCTTCTGATTCCAGATTCCAGCCGGGCCCGGCCTCTCATCGACAGGTACCCGGTCGCTCTCTGCCGACATCTCGCTTTTGCTTTGACGGCGCCCTCCCGCTGTGCTCCCACCCTTTGGTGAACATTCCTTTTGGGACTGATTTTGGGACAGAGGCTCCGCTTTGGGACCGACTCTGGACAGAGTCATCCCTTTTCCTAGGTTTCAGCTCAGTGGAACGATGATCCTGAGCACCTCATGCCGATGAATGCGGCCTTCCCATGTCTCATCTTTTGTCAGCAGCGCAGTCACTGAGCCGAAGTGAGTTCGAGAAAAACCTTCTCCGCGAGTGAGAGAGCCGGGAATCTGGTAGTGCGAGCACGGGAAGATGTCAGGCCGAAGCACGGGTCAGTCGTTATGTAAAATATCTGCTCAAGGTGCCCGCCCGCCCTCCCTGAGGGAGCATTGCGGGGACAGAGGCTCCGCTTTGGGACCACCTTCTCCGCGAGTGAGAGAGCCGGGAATCAAATAAAATTCTGCTGGTCGGCATTGTGGTTCTACACAAAATGTGACAAACATGTATCATTTCCGCACTACCTCTAGAGAAGCTACACGAAAGACGACTCTACTTGTAAACTTGAACTTCGATTGTCGCCTCGCAGGGTCCATGGTGCGCTCCGCTACCGTAGCGGGATAGTAAATACGGGGCAACTTGCGTGTGGAAAAAATGCGGCGTGACAGCAATTCTCGGACGCCGGTGCTGTCTCGACGGAGCCGGGCACGGGCTCCCGGACGAGCAGGGTTGTGTGGTAGTTACACTGCCCACTGTGATGGCTGTGCATCGTGTGTCGACCCCCTGCAACGCGAGCTTGATGAACACGGCAGAGACATAACGAATGAGATTCAAGGTCAGGTTGGGGTGGGTGCATCATGCTTGCCGGCTGCAAACGCAGAATGCCCTATCTGTTGTTGTGGTTTGGAGTCGGAAAACCAAGTGGTATGGAATTGGCAGTGTTCTTGTCGTCTGGCGCTGACTTGCAATGCGCTGTCCAACTGCGCTTGAATCAAAGAGTGAGTGCCAGCATGTCCGCAATGTCGTTGTCCTTGGCCTGGTGCCGTTGCCGATGATCAGTTGCAGCGTGCTTGTCGGGAAAATGATGTTCCGATTGCTCACAACTGGCAGCTCGGACCCGCGCAATCGGCCCAGCCTGACTGCTTTTCGAAGTTCGTGACCGTTTCGGTCAGGGTCTCAACCCACATCCTCGTGAGTCGAGCTCATGTTCGATGCCGCTTGTCCTCGTACGGCTGCGTCCGCATGTGCACATCATTGTGTCAATCCGGAATGCGCCATCGACCAATTCTCCAGTTCGAACCGTTCTTGTGCGCATCATGGTTGTCAAGCTCCAGAATCCTCTGGTTGTTCGGGTCATTGTTGTGTGAGCTCGGTGGCCGATGGAGCACTGAAGCTGCCACCTTTGTCAAGCTTCTTGCACGCCTCCGCGCGCGAGCCGCGCCTGCCTCCTCTCGCGGCCCCAGCATTTCAGCCTTTGCCTCTCGCTGGTCAGCCTTGCTATCCTTTGCGGCTGCCCGCGCCTTCGCTGCAAGCCTGCTCTCCCTGCCCCTCGGCGGCATGGCAAATGTCGACGGCGAATCCCCGCTGCTGAGCGACATCCTTGCAGACTCCTCCTTGGAGCCGCCGTTTGCCAGCCGCCTGCCCTGAATAATGTAGCGCGCAGTCGGCCCGGTCTGGGCCTGCACTGGGACCGCCTCTCCTGGGACGCTGGTAAAAAGGTGTGTGGGGGAAAAAAGTCATTGTCGCATACGGCTCCGAAAGTCCTGGCTGAAATCTTTAACCCCTCAGCCCGAATCCAGCCAGCGACAGAAGGAATTCAGCCGGCTGGAATCCTTGCACCCCGCAAGGATTTCAGCCAGCGACACTGCAGCTTCGGTTGCCCCGGTGCCGGGGCCGCCCGTTAAAAGCGAGTCCCTTAAAGAACCCTACCGCCCCCGTTGAACACCCATAAATAGAGTCCCTTAAAGAAACATCAGACAGAAAGAGAGAGAGTGCATGAATGACATGTCTGCCGGTGGATTTCTGCGCCGGGCTACGTTCCGAGTGCGCACTACCCTTCTTGAATGCAGGTATGATATCGTGCAGATGCGGGGCTTGCAAGCGTGGCTGTGTAAGCTTTTCCACCCTATGAACCCTAATATTCCCTCATTAATCCTCGACAGACGAACCGCACCGAACACCCTATGTAAGAAATCCCTGTTGCCATATACTAAACCCCAAGAACTTCTCAGCCACACTTGCGGGGTCTTCACAGCCGGCGTGGCTGTGCTAGAAATCTTTCAAATTCGATGCCCGACGAGAAAAAAAACGGGCGCGACTAGCTGCTGACTCCCAAGTGCATTTCCCAAGAGAGAGAGAGAGAGAGAGAGAGAGAGAGAGAGAGAGACTGAGAGACAGAGAGAACTACGTTGCGGGGGAAAGCTTCCGCCTGATCGAGCCACCATGGCATCAGGACCAAGCCAAAAATGAGCCCGATGACTTTGTCAAACCATCGGGGGAACCTCGGCTGGCTCCCGCTGTCACATGGGACCAGCCAAAGGACGAACCCGGGGAAGCCCTCGACTTCGACTTCGACTACCACGTCGACTACCACGAGGACGACTACGGGGGAGAAACCGCCGAGCAAGCTGGGGATGACCCCACCACAACGAGGCCAGCCGAACCTCTGGGGCCCCCGTCGGGCCTTACACCACGACAGACTCAGCGGCTCCAACAGCTCCTCGCGACCGGACGGCTCAGCAGGATGCACGAGGATGAGACGGACCTCATGGTTTGGAAGCGCTACCGGGACGAGTCGAAGCAGAACT